CACAGATCTAAAATGGGAAACGTGAGGGTGGGCATTGCACGGGCACTTTAATGTGAAATATAGAAAAACAAGTATATTCGCTGGATTTTATTTTCACGGAATCATCCCTTCAGCGAAAATAGCGAAAATAAATTCCAAGCGAAAATAAAGTATTCTATGGTATATCATTAAGAAGCTTTTGATTTGAGTGCCATTTTAGCAGACAAAAAATACTACTCAAGCGCACTTTGCAATATCAAATATAGATTAACTTTGTGTGTCTGTATGTTAATCACAGCAAACATCACAGACCATCACATACAAATATTAATTTTAAACATTTAATTCAAATACTACATAAAGATGCTTTTGTTGCACATTATAGCCTTGTGGTCTAGAACAGTCTGAAAAAAAGCTGTTGTGTTACCAGTAAATTAATTTAAATGTAAAGCATGGAAAATTGACAAATTACAATAACTTGTTTTCTGTGTTTTCTTTTTTCAGGTAAATTCTTCTTTGATATTTTTCTTGTTTTCCTATCAAGTACATGAGAAAAGTATCCTGTTACCTGCCTTGTAAGTATTCATCTGTTATCAAGTGTCAAAACAACCTTGAACTGATTAATATTTACTGCTTGATTTTTTTTTTGCATTCCTGAAGGCAAAATAAAACATGATATATAAAAGAGACTGTGAATGTGGTTGACTTACAGCAAGTCTCAGAAGTATTGGGGCAGCCAATTTGCAAACTCGCTAGCGAATTGGCTAACTGCTTTGGTTTTGACTAAACGGTTGGCTTTCGAATCTTGCTGGCGTCGTCTTGTGGTCACTCCCACTTAAGGCGAATCTATGTAACAGTAGGGGATGATCCTCATATTTTAGGAGCTATTCAGCGACAGTCTTACAGTTGGAGAGTGATTTCGCTTTCAAATATACTAGGGAAAGTGTTCTATGCTCTTCCTGTCCACAAAAAAACGACGAATAAGGTCGGTTTTTCCAGCGGTTGGCTTAATGTTACCCCAACGAATCGTTTGAGTGTGAAGGTTTGTTATTTTCTCCCTGATTTGTAGGAAACTGGTCTCAACTTATCTATTTAGTTTCAAGCAGTGTTTAAAATGGTTACCTTCATATAATAAATATCGGTGGATTAATCGTATTTATCATATCATCACTTGTACGCCAGCTGACTGTGACCAGTTTTGGGCTCAAATCATGCAGGGGAATCCAGACATGTATCAGGCTGCGTAAAAACATTCTATGTCCCCCAATGCAATATAGAATCCCCAAGAGTGGACGCGATCACAAGCCAGCGCCAGCGAGATTCGAAAGCCAACCGTTTAGTCAAAACCAAAGCAGTTAGCCAATTCGCTAGCGAGTTTGCAAATTGGCTGCCCCAATACTTCTGAGACTTGCTGTAAAGGCGAGCAGACGTCTGGCTTTTGACACTCTGTACATGAAATTTGAGATCTATGAATGAATTCTGTCGATAAAAACAACTTGTATGTGAAATGCCCTAATTATCGGGTATGAAACGGGCTGTGAAGTAGACAACAAACGTTCCCTTTGCCTGGTGTCATTTTGCTTCTAGAGGGCCAGTCAATGATGTCATCAGTGAACAGTGATAATTGAAACCATTCGTTCTTGTATGTCAATCCCATAGAAGTGCTACTATGAAAGACCTTGCTAACGGACAATTTAAAAGTTGAAACATTGTGAGGTGTTGTGCGTATGAATGCCATAACGATTCATGTTAAGTTTCTCAAAATCCCAAATGAAAAATCATGTTGTTGGTTGCGAGAAATCAACAGAAGAACTAACCTGAAAGTAAAGACACGTACAGCATTCTAGCTATAGTATAGTACAGCCAGACCTCTCCTCCCCTTTAATTCAGTGTACCATAGATATTATACATTACTTTATAACCTAGCATATACATATATTTATATTTTTTGTTTTGTTTTAGGTCTGTCTGTTTGTTGTTGCCAAGAAAACCATTTTTCTGTTTATGGTTTTTGATAATGTCTACATTTAGGTATGTATTACTGTAGCAGCATTATTTTTCACTGGCGTGTTAATTTCACTGTTTTTGATATTTTGATCGTATTCAGGTTTTAAATTCATGGATTTTCCAGTGAAACAATGAGTTATATTATAAATTTACATATTCATGTGGATTTAATTTAGATGTTTTCAGTTATCAAACAAAATAAAAAAAAAAATTTTTTGTTTCAGTATGCTACCTTTATTAATTAAAGATGGTTTAGTCTTACCTTATACCGTCACCATGCTACTATTTCTAATAACTACATGTTATGTAATGGATACCAATACATGGAAACTCGCCGTCTTTGAAAATCCACCAACCGAAATCTTAAAGAGTGTTATGACTTTCTCATCAGCTGGTTTTATACAAGCATGGGTAAGTATATGATATACTGTAAAATACTTTATTTTAGCTGGAATTAATTTTCGTTGAAAAGACTTTTTAAGTGTTTTGTATGGAATTTATTTTCACTGATTTTTGTCAAGTTGAATGTAAAATATAGAAAAAATAGGTATATTCGCTGGATTTATGATCCATAAATTGATTGAACAGGGGACAATATTACAATTGAGCTTTGTGACTTAAAATGCCCCCACCCCAAGTTGTTGTTTTTTATTTCAAACTGTCTGAATACACGTTTACATTGCAGTTATTTGTAGCTAGTGATGACTTCCAATGTGCAAACAAACTCTGACCATCAAATATATCACACAGTAGTCCCCATATATATCGTCAACGTGAAGCCTTTTTTTGTTTGTACATTTCTGAACACATATGCGTAGGTCTCGTAACCAAGACACAACCATGTGCATCACAACATACTCGCTGCTATTAAATATATCAGTACCTGTAATCAACTACTTACTTTTCTTTTTTTTATTTTCAGTTTTATGTTTGTTTGATAGAAATTGGAATCCTGTCTTGGCTGTCTGTATTCAAAGCACCGCCTCCTAAATATCCCGATCTCTGGCCTGTTATCATCTCAGTCTTCTGCTGTTTACATTTTCTTGCCTTTCTTGTCTATTTTCATATTGAACAGTTCTTTGGTGAACACTGTGAAACTTTGAAAGCAAAGGGAACCAAAAGTGACTAACCATCAACGCAGGGTGATACTAGCATAATGCATTTTTAACCTAATGAGAAAACACGAAATATTTTCTGATATAATTCAAAACAATTTCAAAGGATTTCTGTCTGATGAAATATTTTAGCTCCCTCAAATTTTAAAATAACTTTCCCTTTTGCAAATTTAAGAGGTACCGTCCCCTGGCCAATATATACAATAATGAGATATGTAGTGTGAAATTAAGAATAGACACTAAGTTAGGGGGTTTTGTTTGTCATTGAAGGTTAGTTACATTGTAGGTAGGCTTGTCTACAGGATAAGATCCTCTAGGACTCTCAAAATAAAATGTGCGGAATATCTACTTTTAATATTTCATATTTTTAGAAATTTTATTTTCGCACATTTGTGAATGCAATTTTAACGCAGCAATAAATAATTGTTACTCGTATGTTGGCGATATTCCTTCCATTTAATCTGTTTGTCAACAATATTTAACCACCAGCCTGATAGCTTTGATATTTGAAGTAGTTACATTACATGATCCTTTTTATTTTGTGATGATTGCTATAATTTGTTTTTTGCAAATATTTTCAAGTTATTCTTGAAAACTGCTATGATAATATACATTTAGGTTTTGAGTTGAATTATTTGAATTATTTTCTGATTTTATTTTATTTTATTTTATGACATTTTATGACATTTTCTTTGTCAAGTTTAGTGGAAATTGTTATTCTTTTTCTTCTTTTCGAAAACTACACACCCAATTGCTTTGATACTGTGATATATCTTTCTGTGCTAGTAATTTAATTTTTAATTTTTAACTTTGTTTTTTCAAAAATGCTATGTCATTTAGGGAGGGCCATAAAAATTGTACATTTTGTATAGTGGTATCATGAGAACAAACAAAATTAATTAAACAAAATCAACTAATATTTACAGACAATGGGACAAGTGCAAGCTTTGATTTATAGAAATCTGTGCATATTAAATATTTCACAATTTTTGCACATTGATGTTTTAAATGTATTCTAAGTACACATAATAATATGAAGTTATTACAAGAACACCACACTAGAATACATGAAGTATGCACAAGGGCAGTACAGTAATCATGTTGATAGTCGCACTGCCTACCTGAGTGCATACTTTGCGGTATCCTCATACATCTTTTCCCTGCTTATAATAACATCCCAAAATTGCAACAACAAATGTTTCACGCTGAGTGACACAATTCAGTTTTCATCATGCGCTCATAGCACTTTTGCGTCTGAAGTAAACAAAAGAAACGCTTCAAATGTCACGTGAATTACATTTTCAAAATAAGGCATACATTCGAACACGTCCATAACACTTTTGAACACGTCCATATGGCATTTTATGGACGAGTAAATTCTATTGTTTTCGGTGTCCGATGTACAATAATGTATTTAAATATGGTACAAGATGATTATGTCAATGTCAATTACTACCGTAATTGGATTATAATGGATAAATCGTATTCTGTAGAAATGAAATAATAACATTGTTAGAGGAAATTTCCCTTCTTCAGTGGTACCATTGCTCACCATAGCTCATTGTAGCAATAATCTACAACGCCATATTGATCGGTTGTTGCAGCCATTAATATCTGTAATCATCTGATACTATAAGGTTATTACGAAGATACCTCAAAGTATGCAAGAAAACAGTACAGCGGCAGTATCGACCGGTGTGCAGCGGAGGTCGATGCGACAGCGTACTGTCTGGGTGCATACTTTGAGGTATCTCGTAATAACCTTATTATTATACATCTCTCCCTTCCAGAGATACATCATGGGAATGCCAAAATCTAAAAAGTTTAGAACAGAATCAGCAAACTTCTTTGTATGGAGTCAAGTCAAACCCCTATGGCAGCCATGTTGGTTTTTTTATATTAGAGGACGCTTACGCGCGTAATCGTTCCATATTTGGAATACACATTCCCTTATATAGTAGAAGAAAAATAAAATACTGCAAAATTACAACACCCTGTATCCTATGGCGTTACGGTGACAGATGTATAATAATACAAGATATAAATTGTTTTCAATAAAGATATGTGCATTAATAATTAATTAATTTGCATTATTATACAAAGTTATCTTGTATGATGTTTCAAATTAAAAGTGAAGAATAATATATTATTAGAACTGTTGAATGTTTAGTTTTTTAGGGTTCCACCTTATTCTCACCTGCCTGAGTATCTGTTACTGCAACACTCATAACATACTCTTGCAAAATATGCTGACTAAAAATAAGGCCCGTTTTTTGAGAACTGTAATATGCTTATTCGTGTGTAAACGTCATGAAAGCAAACGACTAATCTTCGCTTGTTTTAGAACACTGGTTGTCTGTTTTACAAGTAGATTGATGGTCTTTAGGAATGAAATGAAATGCATGGGAGTTGAACCTGTAGGTATCATTTACCAACTGGTTTCTTTTAGTAACAATCATGTGTCATAGAGAGTCCGCTATTTTACAACAAATTTGGTTCCATTCATCTATGCAACCATTGTTTTTGGACGTGCATTGTCCAGCGAGAGTTCAGTCCTTTTACTACATAGTAAAGTCCACAGCACATTGAAAATGTGGTTGTCTCCAATCACGGCTGCTAATTTAGCAACTATGTGGCAAGTGAATGTTGAAAGAATACGTCCAATTGTATATATCAGGTTATATATATATACCGTGAAACTACTCGATACGAAACAATATCGCAAATTATCCATCATTTGGGTGCAGTTCGAAAACTGGGACTTGTGGATTGACCTCTGTGCATCTGTGTGCATTCAGAACTGTCTTAGACAACATGCCTGGACCAATTACATTCAAACATCATACATAATATTATACATATGAACATCAATTTATTTCACGATCTGATTCAAGATGGCCGAATGGCAGCCATTTCTGTACTGCAAAATTTTCAAAGTCGAACATTTCTCGGCTGTTTACAGATGGATTTTGTTCAAACTTGGTATATACTTGGACATTAGGAAACCTTGATGCACGTCATTTTGTTTTCCGGATAAGATTCAAAATTGCTGACTAGCGGCCTTTGTGTTTTAATGAACACGGTTCTAGTGCCATATCTCTGACTTGCTTTGACTGATTTTATATATTCATTATACATCATGTCATAGATAAACAGATGCTTGGTTTGACGATCCAATTCAAAATGGCCGACCGGTGGCCATTTTGTTTTTTATTAATGCTGTTCCAGGGTAATATTTCTCATTATGATACAATAGTATTTGTACTATATTACTACCGGTGTAAACAAAACTATATAAATTACCGTAGATTTGATAACTTTTATAAACGGGGACTGTGTCATGCATGGTTTGTTATGTTTTGTTTGTTAGAAAGTTGTATAATTTTGCTCCTCTGATCAGGTAAACTGTGAGTATTATTTTCCCGTGGACCAGCTAAGGGCCCTCACCTTAAAATAAATGTCTGGTGGGTAGAAGAGTCAGCTGCTATAAGTCTTAGTTACAAATAAGTGAAGTATGAAAAACCGACAGTGATGGGCATAAAGTTGGCATACCGGTAATTATTTTTATAAATCAAAGTGGGGGTTAACATTCAAATCTACCAATCCTGAAATCATACTGTGACATTACCATTAGATATAATTAATATTAATGAGTTTAAAATTATCCAATCAGCAAGTGAATAAGTTGGTGGCCATTTTGAATAATTTGGTGGTCGCAGTTGCTATCTCACGTGAAAGCATGTGTGCGTATTATGGGCGTAGGCTCTTGAACCAGGGAGCTCATTACAGCTCCCTGCTTGAACCAATCATTAATTAAGGTACAGTTTTATGCTCTTCACTGTGTACCGCAATATTGAAAAAAAAAGTATGAACACAAAATTGTAGATAGATCTGTATGTCAAAAGATCACTCCACGTAGCGGTTACGACGAGGATTCCTTATCCTTATCTAATTTAATGAGCAAAAATTTGCTCACCGTCTATCTGATCATGACCCTCGCACGTTCCTGTCATTTCATGGGGCGCAAAGAATAATGCTTTATCCCTGTGTTCTATTGAGGAAACTACTCAAAATGAATTGTTGAATATTTTTTCTCAAATTATGCACCGCGCAGCAAAATTTTTACCAAAATATCATAAGATAACGGGTGCCGAAATAACCTTACTTTCGACCGGTGAAAAAAAAGAACACTATGGCGACAAAGACGCACGAATTTGAAATCCAATAATAATTTGTGTTCAACTGTAGAACAGTCGTATGGCCCAGGTATTTATCATTGGTATATTCACACATTTTTTTTTTACGTGCTGTAAACATTTTGAACAAAAATGTATGAAATAAAGAGCGTGTTAGTCAACTTTGTGACATTATAGTAATTAATATAGCGTACCATATGGTACCGTTATGAGATGTATATTCATAAGCGCGGGCTCAATAAAGGTGTGGGTGGTAGGTAGGTAAGGCGTGTCACTGTCCTGTGCCAGTTTTGCTCTATAGTTACATAGCCTCATAGTTTTACCATTGGATTTCACGACGCCAGTTCAAACGCCTTTCCGGTATCAGTCCACATTGCACCAACAAGCCATTGTAGGTTGTGGACAATAATGCCCATCTCATCGAGTAACGCGCGACTGACAAAATCTCTAGAAAGAACGCCGAAACGGCGGAGATACAGACCACCTAAACAAACGCAACTGACAATCCTTAAAGGCGAAACATCACAGCAAGCGACGGTGGAAGAAGTGACCGATGTCGAGGCTGCAAGTGGACAGGCGGAAATGATGGGAGGAGGAGCTGTGCAGGAATCTAGTAGTCGGGAACAAGCAGAAAGCGAACCGACTCAGGGAGAGGGGGACATACTTAAACCTGCAGAGATTGAGGCATCAGGGGTTGACTCAGACGTGCATCAACTAGTTGAGCCGATGGGTTTGCAATTAGATAAGTCCAAAGAAGCCGTTATAGTGAGCGAAGATGAACACGAGAAAGGAGCAGACAGATCAGAAGACAGGTCAGACATTGAATCGGAGGAAGACTCAACTGAGATAATAAGAGAGGGAGACATCTATGAACTGAAGGTAAATTAATGTGTTCCACTTTTATACAGATTACTATAAATACCTATCACAATGACGACATCGATCATTATGGTCTATAATGCCCCGCTTTGCAGTTGTCGTCCTATATAATATTTCACAATTACCAAAATGGACATAACGAGTTTACATTATTTATAGTAAAACATTGCTATTCCATAATGTATCGCCATAATAATAATACTAAGATTGGCGACATCAGTAGCCTCATGACAAAGAGACCAACAACTTCGGGGCCAGCAAGCTATTACGGGCCATCCTCTGGCACCGAGACTGTACAACTGAGAACATTATAGTCAGCTTTCTCAAGATAAGGTCATGTACATGCATTAGTATTCCAAACATTCACCAACACAAATATGGAAAATAATCTAATTTATTTTTTTTCTACTTTTATTTGCTTCTCAGTTGTTTTTTTCTATTTTCCTGTACGTATTTTTATTCTCACTTTAATTGTTTGTTTGTCTGTATTTACATCTGTATTGCATTTTAGTCAAAATCCTAATAGGGATACGAACGCAATAAAGATAATTATTATTACAAACGCAACCTCCAGCCACAGCCCCTCTATAATAGTGGGTCTGTTTTTTCAGCGCTACTTTTATTATCCTCTGTGACAGAGAGACTGACAAACTCGATTATAGCATGGGGGTAGAAAAGAGATATTTTCTACCTCCATGATTATAGGGTGGACCTCGCAGAAGTTTGTCTATATGAAATATCCAGATTATTTCGTAAGCACGTTTCTTCTAGACTAGACAGGTAACCCTATGTGCCTACCATTGTCTTTCAGAGCATGTCAACGACTCCGAGCGGTGACAATAATCACAAAATCTCAGTGAACAATGAAAAAGAAGCTTTGCGAATACTGGCAGAGAAATGGCAGTGTATATCATTTTGGATGTTTATTTTTGGATTACTGGTGGGCGGATTAGTTGTTGGATTAACCGTTGGATTGGCATTGAATACAGAGTTACAAGGTAACATTAAGACAGGCGTTACTCAGACTAAAATTGGATTGTGGGTAAGGGGGAATCTCCATTTAAGCCCAATCCACAACAAATTTGCTTTCTGGATAAAAATTACAATGGATAACAAAAGATAGATTAACACTGTAAACAAGATAAACAATAGTGTCCCATGATTCCTTGGTGCAATCCCTGGGTTTGGCAGGTTCCCCTTTAACACAACTCTACGCCACCATGTAGTTTAT